CAATCCATCCAATTGCAGTTGCTCTTAATTAGTAATGACATGAGTCAAATCTATCGACAGGAACACACCCAATGTGACTCGAATTCTTACTGAACACTTTATCCGAACACTTTGGTGCCCTTATTTAAGTTACCGATTTTTCACGCTACATGCTTTCATCATCTTTTCCTACTTTATAAAATTCCTCACCCGTTCCTAATTTTTCAACAATCAGGTTCATTTTATCTTGTCCGTTGCATTGTTGCAGGTCAGCCGTTTCACTCTCCTCAGCAACAATCATTTATTTGCGCCCTGGATTCATTAATTTTTGATAATAAATGTGGTAAGGACGAGTGATAGAAATTTCAGACCCAAATTTTTGGTGTAGATTTCTCAATAAATAATTTTCTGAAAGTATATTTCCAAGGAACAGTAGCCTATCATCAATTAATAGTGTCATGTGGCTTGAGGAAGTCGCGCACTAGGGGCAGGAATGTGTCGTGGCGGACTGTAAAGAAAATATCGATTTGAATTTGCGAAGAATTCTGAAATAATAATAATCATGGAATTAGGGAACAACAGTAATAAGCAATTAATGCTGTCAAGAGACAAATACATGAGCAATGAAATGATATGAAGGTTAGGAATTACTCGCTGAATGCTGAACGATTGCATACTGGCAAGCAATGCTTTTGCAGCTGGTGCTACGAGCAAATGTTTCACAATTCAGCATGAATGTCCTCAAATCGGGTCATCTGTTCAGATTCGATATTGCCTCAAATTCAGGCAAAAATTTCGGAATGCTTTCTTACAATCAGAAGCCGAGAATGCTGAGCTGCGCGAAACATACAGCTGCTGCAGGTAGTTGAGTAGAATCCGCATTCCTATGAGGAGTTTTTTGATACAGTGAAGGAATTGCATCGTTTTAAACAGTTAAATGATCGGAGCGAGGAATAGCTCATAATCAAGCAATACCACTCGATAAAATTCACATGTGAATCGAAATTGCTTTTCGAATTCTCCTCAACGATCTGCATATCGCGAACTCTGCCACCAAACTCACCACTAGAACTCAAATTAAAATCGCTGCAAAACTATACATCAAATTAGCTGCAAAAACTTCGAACCAGACTCGCCGCCAAACCCGATTTCATTTCAATCTACTATCATGCCCAAGCACAAACCACAATCAGATTATCAACCACCCAACCTCAAATGTGATATCACCAAACACTCCTAAATTCAAATCGCTGCACAATAATCAACCACATGCAAATCCATGCATTCGTC